ATAACTGTAGCTATTGATGTTATTAGATAAAGGTTATAAAATAAATCTGCTTAATATGCTTAGAAATGAAGAACTTAGAATTTAGGGATTAAAAAATACATTTGTCCAATCAAAACCTCGGTGGACAGAGTGTCACTTGCAGCATTATGTAGCTTACTTGATGCTCTGAGGGTTTCTCTTACTACAAAATGAGACCACACTTTGAGATATTGCTGGTTGAAAAGGAAAACACCAAGATTACCACCATCCCATAAAACTTCACTAGAAGGGGGAGAATTGTATTGATTTAAAATGCCAACAGTAACAAGGATAGTAAATTATATGGTCTAATTAGAGACATAAGATGAAGAAGTCGAGACTGAATCCTCATGCTCAGCTAAGATTCTTTATGGAAGTTCTCAAATTTTAGCATGCCTTAGAATCACCTGGACGGCTTGTTAACTGTAGATTGCTACGTTTCATTAGCAGAGTTTCTTATTCACTGTGGAATGGCATCCAAAATTTTTTGCTACTACGAAGTTCATGGGTAGTGCTGATGCTGCTGATCTGAGGACCACACTTTCAGAACCATAATTCTGAAGGTCTGACATAGTGTCAAACAAGCAACGGCCCCTGGCTACAAGCAGAAATAGAAGCAAATCTCTGTGGTAAAATCTCCCCAAATTTAACCACATAATAAAATCAAGTAATGAGATCACCATGTACAAAAGAGTGCATGTCACTGTGAGTGAGAATCAGTAAGAAAAGCATAGCTTTGAGCAACTGAAGATTTCAGGTACTGGAATAGTAAGACCATAGAACACTTATTCATAAAATATTTATGGAAATATTTGCAGTAATATAAAAATAGAAATATAAAAAAAGAAATATAAAAATAATTTATAAAATATTTTCAGAAATAGGTAAATAGAGACAGTTAAAGATGAACAAGTAACAGGACTATCAGAAATAGAAAAAAATGAAAGTGGATCATTTAAAAAAAATTTCAGTTGAAATAAAAACGTAAAAAAACAATTAAAATTTAAAGAGCAAAACTATAAGCTAAGGTAAATTTATGAAAAATATAGGCAGACCTCAGAGATATTGTGGGTTTGCTCTAGATCATTGCAAAAAAAAAATTGTTTAGTTTCCCAGTGCATACAAAAGTTATATTTACATTGTTCTGTAGTCTACTAAGTATATGAGAGCATTGTGTCTAAGCAAAAAAAAAAAAGTATATACTCTAAAATACTTCATTTCTAAAAAATGGTAACCATATCTGAGCTCTCAGCAGGTCGCAGTCCTTCTGCTTGTGGAGGGTCTTGCCTTGATTCTGATAGCTGCTGACTGATCAACGTGATGGTTGTTCAAGGCTGGGGTGGCTGTGGCGATTTCTTAAAATAAGATGATAGTGAAATTTGTTAAATTGATTGACCCTTTCTTTCATGAATCATTTCTTTGATACAGGTGATGCAGTTTGATAACATTTTACTCACAGGAGAATTTCTTTCACAAGCAGAGTCATTCCTCTTGAGCCTGACTCCTGCTTTATCAACTAAGCTTATTAATATTTTAAATCCTTTGTTGTCATTTCAACAATCTTCACAGACTCTTCACCAGGAGCAGATTCCACATCAAGGTAGAACTTTCTTTACTCATCCAAAAGAAGTAACTCCTCATCTGCTCAACGTTCATCATGAGATTGCAGCAATCCTGTCCCATCTTCAGGCTCCACTTCTGATTCTAGTTCTCTTGCTGTTTCTATCACATCTGAAGTCTCAAACTCCTCAAACTCATCCATGAGGGCTGGAATCAACTTCTTCCAACTTGTGATAATGTTGATATTTTGACCTTTTTCCATAAATCACAAATGTTCTTAGTGGTATCTAGAGTGGTTAAGGCTTTCCAGAAGGTGTTCTATTTACTTTGCCCAGAACCATCAGAGAAATCAATATCTATGTAAGAAATATTTCTTAAATTATAAAACTTAAAAGTTGAAATTACTCCTTGATCCATGGATGCTGTGTTAGCAGGCAAGAAAACATTAATCTTGTTGTACATTTCCATCAGAGGTCTTGGGTGGTTAGCTTCATTGTTAATGAGCAATAATATTTTGAGAAGAATATATTTGTTTAACAGTAGGTCTCAACAGTGTGCTTAAAATAAACCATGTTGTAAACAGATGCCCTGTCATTGGGCTTTGTTGTTCCATTCAAATAGTAGGGCAGAGTTGATTTAGCACATTTCTTAAGGGCCCCAGGAGTTTTGGAATGGTAAATGAGCATTAGCTTCAACTTAAGTCTCCAGCTGCGTTAGCGCCTAACAAGAGTCAGCCTGTCCACTGAATCTTTGAAGCCAGGCATTGACTTCTCTTCTCTAGCTACGAAAGTTCTAGGTGGCATCTTCTTCCAATAAAAGACTGCTTTCATCTATGTTAAAAATCTATTATTAGTGTAACCATCTTTATTAATTGTCTTCACTGGATCTTCTGGAGAACTTGCTGAAGCTTCTATAGCAGCACTTGCTGCCTCATCTTGCACTGTTATGTTATGGAGACAACTTAAACCTTTTGAATCAAAAGACTACATATCAAAACAAAATACATATCAAAACCAACAGATGCAGCTGAAGCAATATAAGAGAGAAACATAGAGGCTAAAATGCATATATTAGGTAAATAAAGGCTAAAAAGTAAGGGGTGGACATCCAAACAAATAAATTAGCTAAAGGGAGAGAATACATGTGACAGGTGGTAATAAAGATAAAAGTAGAAATTAGTGAAAGAGGCTGTCCTTCTCATGCAAGAGGGAGCATTGAGCACACATTACTTTTCCTCACTCTGTTAAAGACCTTATTAAAATGTTCATAAAATAATAAAAAAATTAAAAGAAGGGAAAATAGTAACAAATACTTAACAAAATAACACATTTTTAAAAAGCCACAGTAGATGTAGTGAGAAGAAGGAGCACATACACCCCAATGTTCATAGCAGCAATGTCCACCATAGCCAAACTGTGGAAGGACCCAAGATGCCCTTTAACAGATGAATGGATAAAGAAGATGTGGTTCATATATACAATGGGATATTATTCAAACATCAGAAAAAGATGAATATCTACTAATTGTATCCACATGGATGGAACTGGAGGTCATTATGCTAAGTGAAATAAATCAATCAGTGAAACATAATTATCATATAGTTTCACTCATATGTGGAACATAAGGAATAGTGCAGAGGACAATAGGGGTGGGGAGGAATTGAATGGGAAGAAATTAGGGAGACACACCATTTAAGACTCTTGACTCTGGGAAACAAATTGAAGGATGTGGAAAGGGAGGGGGTAAGGGGATGGGGTAACCATGTGATGGGCAATAAAGAGGGCATATGATGTGGTGAGCCCTGGGTGTTATATTGAACTGATGAACCATTGAACATTATATCAAAAATCAATTATGTACTACCTTGGCTAATTGAACTAAAAAAATAAATAAATAAAAGCTAGAGTAGATGTCGAGTTGCACAGACTACTACAAAAGGAAAGTCAGTGGAAGCCCAACAAGGCAGCTGCAGGCCAGACTTGGTGAGGGAGATGGATGGCGGCTGAGAGTACCGGGCATACAGGCTGACATAGGACTTCCCATTATAACAACCCATGCTGGAAAGACAACCAGGCAATGCCTTGAGGGCTGGCAGAAAATCTGTTAAGTTATGCACTCAACCAAAAAATCACCCAAGTTTGAGCAAAAGCAAAAAAGGAAACAAAACAACAACAATGACAAATATTTTCAGCACTCAGAAAATTTATCTCACAATACTCTCCTTAAATAAGTAACTTACAAATTTACTCCAGAAAACAAACAAAAAACAACAACAACGAAAAAAAAAAAACCTGATAGCAGACACCAAGGAAGTGGAAAATCAGGGATAAAATAAACAGTGAATAATTCCAGAAATGACTAAAAAGAAACCTGTGTATGGCAGATGTCTATCAACAGTGTGTCCAATTTAAAACAAATATCTGTGAGCTTCACAAAAGCCATCTTCCTGAGTAGGAAAGGCTGAACAAATGTGAAGCTGGAAGATACAGCTCTACTTGGAAGAAAATGCGAGTTTCTTCCCTCAATGTTAAAAGTCATTTAGAAACTCCAAAAAACACATACACACACAAGCAGAAAAATTGTATATGAATTCTTTAGAACTAAATAGAAAGCAAAATAAAATTTCCCATTATTTTGAGCAGCTATGAAATGTAAAAGACAGAATCCACTTCATCTAGACACTAAAAATATTTTCTTACTTCTGGTATAGGGGGTCATGATACTGGAAACCAGAACTAAAGAAATATTTCCTCACTGTAACTTGGGTTTACAGCCCTAGTGTTTATTGAATCATGATGATAACTGTTTAATAATTTAACATTTGGAATCAACATAATTAAAAAACAGATTTTAAATGTTATGAGTCCTGACAAAGTCACCATCATCATGATCATCATTTTGACCAGACACCTAAATGCATGACAAGCACTGTGGCATATTTATAAGGGTTGCCTTAATTTTCAAAATAACTCCATGAGGTAGCTATTGCTAGTACCTTTGTTTCACTGATATGCAAACCAAGGTATCAGGAAGTTAAATAACTTGCTCAGTATCTTCCTCCTGTAAGCAGCAGAGCCAGATTAATTTCCAGGAAGTCTGATCTTAGGGTCTGACTCATAGCTGTTAAGCTAGACTCACTCATCCTAATGTAAAAGTGAGGACACAGCCAACCTTGATGGGAATGCAAATAGGACCAAAGAAAGTGGAGGTGAACAACCCTGCCACTTACAGTCTCATCCTGCCTGGTAGGAAGACAGGAGATGGAAGTTTAATGATGTTCACTTAAAGATATAATAGGAACCTATGGGAGAACTCAAAATTATACAACCCTGAAAACTTAGAGGAGGTAGGATGTGGGCAGTAGTATTAGCATGAACTACATGCTGACTTTGAGTAAGCTAAATTTTACCCTTTCAAAATAGGAAACCCATTGGACAGAATGTAATATCAACAGATCAAGAAATAACTGGATGAACACAAGAGTCCAGGTATGGCTTATGACAGTAACTGTCAAAAGAGAAAAATGAACAGGAGCTGCCTCTGGGTAGCAGGTTGGGGTTATGGAAGACTATGTTAGAGTTGAGGTGAGAGATGTGGAATTTTTAGTACTATTTTTGTGTACTACTTCATATTTTACATGCCCTTATTATCCTAGCCAAAATAACCCCCCCCAAACACACACAGTTTTTAAAATTACTTCATCTTGGATAAATTGGAGGCCTCATCCATTGCTGATATGTAAATGGAAATGGAAAATGGCATAGCCCCTGTGGAAAATAGTCTGGCAGTTCCTCAAAAATGAGACATAGAATTTCCCTATGATCCAATAATTACATTTCTGGATATATATCCACATAATTGAAAGCAGGGTCTCAAAGAGATACTTGTAGACCCTTATTCATAGCAGTATTATTCACAATAGCCACAAAATGGAAGCAGCCTAACTTCCTTCAACAGATGAATGGATTAACACAATATGAGATATCCATACAAGGGAATATTATTCAGCCTTAAAAAGGAAGGAACTTATGACACATGTTACCATATGGATGAAACTTGAAAACATTATATTAAGTGAAATAAGCCAGACACAAAACAAATACTGTATGATTCCACTTACGTGAGGTATCCAGAATAATCAGATGTATAAGACAGAAAACAGAATGGTTGCCAAGGACTGGAGCAAGGGAGAAAAGAGGAGTTATTATTTAATGAAGACACAGTTTCAGTCTGAAATGATGAAAAAGTTCTAGAGATGGTCAGTGGTGATGGTTGTACAATTATGTGAATGTACTTAATGTCACTGAACTGGACACCTTAAAATGGCTAAAATGGTCAATTTTATGTTACATACATTTTATCACAAAAAAATCACTTTCATCAAAAGAGGAAACAATAACTTTGGCCTCATGCCAATAAGATATGGTACTTTTGAACTTATTTGAGTTTAATATAAATTGGTTCTTTTACCATTTCCTGAAAAATAAAAGAAATTTAAAGCATGCTAATTCTTATGATAGTCTTTCAATTTAGCACTATTGTTCTATTTTAAATTATATATAATATATAAAATATTATAAAACAGATATGTAATTATATTAAATACATATAGTTAAGCCCTATAACAATTTATTATTATTTATTTAGCCAATATGAACAAAGATATGCTCAAGGAAAACCTTGTCATATTTCATACAGTCTCAGTAGCCTTTGATTGTAAGATGCATCCTTATTTCAGAATTTTGGAATGTTAAAATGTGAAAGAAATGTGCATGTTACAATTGGAGAAATATTATATTAAAAAGAAAATAAGCTAAAAGAGAGAGAGCCTCAGACTGTAACATTTACTCAGAAAATGAATTGTTACTAAACAGGTGTAATCTTAGCAATTATATTCTGTGTTTTGTGTGGTGGTAAGTGTGAGTATGTGTTTGTGTGAATGTCTCTTTGTGTGTGTGTGTGTGTGTGTGTGTGTGTGCACATGCAGGAAAGAGAGACAGAGGGGAAGAGCGACAAGGGAGAAGGAGAGAGGAATCCACTGTGTACCAAGGGTTTCTCATAGATCAGAGTTTCACAAGGAATATAAACTATCAAAGGATCAAAGAAACAACTTGGCCTTCTCTCTGTATCAATAGTAAAGACACAGGACAGAACTGGGATAGGGATTGGTTGTTGCTAGGATCCATTCCATGGAAAAGGGTAAAAAAGTAAAAAAGGAAACCGCAAGAAACAGGGAACTCCAAGTGAAAACATGTCTAGCTCATCATCCACATCATAAATCACCTACTAGAAATACTTAGGATGCAACCTAATTAATCCCAAATACCCACAAAAACAAAATGGTAGAGTGATTTGCTATTTCCAGGATACTGGTTTTACTAAATCTCAGATTTACTAAAATAAACTAAAAGCATAAAAACTAAAAACAATGTCTCCTCACAGTTTTCCAATAACTAAGAGCTTAGAAACACAATTTCTTTCTTACAAAGATTCAGAAATGAATGCACACCTTAATGGGTGGCATCCATGGTCTACCTTCCAAATAATTAGCATAATAAACTCAGGCTGCTCCTGAACTTTCATGCAACAAACAGAAGACCAGCTCAGGCTGAGAAACACATAAGAAAAATCAGTAGCTGAAATTAATTCTTCAGAGTTCTGACATAGAAAATGAGTCACATTTCAGCCAAGTGTCTCTATGCTATTATCTCAAGTTTATTCCCATGGCCATTTACTCTTCAGTTATTCTCTGCCTGTCAGTGATGGGTTTCACGAACCTAGTGAAGGTCAAGGAACACAAGCTGGAATGAGGCACACGCTCCAGGGAATCTGCTGAGCCAGCCTCATTTCACATTGGGGTGTTTGGACCAACAAAGGGTAAATAAAGTTTTTAGGAGAATGGGGTGGGGATGGCCCTCACCACAGGTCACCTGACTGCCTCATCAATTTCATTGCATTGACAACAGAAGGGAGCTGCCATTTTCTTAGGTTAATTCCTCAGTGTTCTGTGGACTGGGCTTTAAAGAGTGAAAATATAGCATTAAGAGATATACTCAGACAGTGAATATGGTGAGTCAGATATATGAAAGCTTTATGGCCCTTATGAATCAGAACGTGGCAGGAAACCAGAGACTGGAACATGGGCAGGGCCAAGAAGCTAGTTACTCCTGCTGTAGGAGCTTCAGAAGAACTGTACTTTCATTTGGAACAGGGACTTCTTTTTGACAGAAACTGTTCACCCTAAGAGGTGAGAAAACTGAAAATCAGCCTTACTAATTGCTTGTGCTATAATGTTCAGGACAGAACATGGAAAACCCCCATGACGGGACATGGAGAACCCCTACAAACCATGTTTCTGCATAAGAAACCTACCACAGCTAGAAAACTACCTTCAATCTTTGCTTCTGAACAAATGCGGGTCTTACCAGTGGTGGTCCCAGCTCTGCTTGGTTCTTCTACCTCCCGAACACAAGTTACTGAGATTTCCAATTATTGAACTATGTATACTTCTCCACAATATCATTATGGAGTGACATCATTGTGGTTGTCCCTTCCCCAATGGCTCCTGAGAATCATTTAGCACTGCCCCAACCTTTAAGAACCTTCTCCTCCCTGCTGAGGACGCTCCCAAGATTCTGTGTTGTCCATTTTACTTGCTGCAACAGCTAAATATAAGCAATTTCATTTGATTACAGGTACTCCTGTTGGTCTCTAGCTGGTGGGCTTTGACAGAAGTGAGCCTCAAAGCTAGAAATATTAGGCACCAGTCAATGCTGGATCATAAATACCAACACAGGGATGAGAATAATATTGCAAGTGACAACTTAGACACTGAACACAGAGCACACTCCCCCGCCTAAGGTTCTAGCCTATTTCAGTCCTGCTGAAACAGACCTGGTGTTGCCAGATCTTAAGATTTCTCAGGAGAAATCGGCTTTAATCATGGAAGCTGACTACACAATGTGAAACCCTCCTGCAGAAACCCTCCTGCAACACAGTATCTAAGCATGTTACATAATACAGCAAAGATTCCTTTAAAAGCATAGATGAGCTCACAAGAAAGCTAGGGAAATATTCAGAGGCAAAAATTAAAGAGAGACTGAAATATAGAATCTGAAATGCAAGTTGATGTTTCTGGTACCGAATATACTTTTTTTTAGGGTTGCTGGGGGTAGCGGATAGGGATAGGGTCCCTGGTTATGGACATTGGGGAGGTTGTGTGCTATGGTGAGTGCTGTCAAATCTGTAAGCCTGATGATTCATATACCTGCACCCCTAGGGCAAATAATACATTATATATTAATAAAATGTGATTTTAAGTGGACAACTGAATGAACACACAGGAACTAAAGAACTGGAATGTGGAACTAATGATACCAGGAATCAAGCATAAGATAGAAAACACAAAACACAGATTAAAAGGTAGAAAGATAAAAAGTCTGACAATGTCCCTCAGTCAACCAGTAGAAATTCTGGAAGAATTAAGGGGCCCCATTACGGAATGAGAGAATACTAACATTAGGAGAGAGGCAATGTCTAATGAGATTTGAGAATTTATTGGAACTAATGAAAGATGTGAGTTTGCAGATCCAGAAACACATAATGCAAATTAAATGAAATGGATTCCACACCTATAGATCTTGTAGTAAATCCATACAAAAATATATAGATTCTCTATAAGAAAAAAGCAAACCAAGAGTACATTTCTCAACAACAGCTATATGAATCATTAAAAAATAAAAAATATGGCATGATGCTTTATGTGGAAAACCCAAAAAAACTCCACCCCCAAATTACTAGAACTCATACAGCAATTCAGTAATGTGGCAGGATACAAAAATCAATGCACAGAAATCAGTTGCTTTCTTATACACTAACAATGAAACTGTAGAAAGGACAATTAGAGGATTGATTCCATTTGCAATGGCACCAGAAACCATAAGATACATTGGAATAAATCTAACCAAAGAGGTAAAGGATCTATACTTGAGGAAGTACAGAACACTCATGAAGAAATTGAAGAAGACACAAAAAGATGGAAAAACATTCCATGCTCACGGATCGGAAGAATAAACATTGTTAAAATGTCTATGCTGCCCAGAGCAATCTATACTGATCAAAATACCAGTGGCACTTTTCAAAGTGCTGAAACAAACAATCCTAAAATTTGTATGGAATCAGAAGAGACCCCGAATTGCTAAGGAAATGTTGAAAAAGAAAAACAAAGCTAGAGCCATCACCTTGCCTGATTTCAAACTTTACTCTAAAGCTGTGATCATCAAGACAGCATGGTACTGGCACAAAAACAGACACATAGACCAATGGAACAGAGTAAAGAATCCAGATATGGACCCTCAACTCTATGGTCAAATAACTTCGACAAAGCAGGAAAAAATATCCAATGGAAAAGAGACAGTCTCTTCAATAAGTGGTGCTGGGAAAATTG